AGAGAGAGAGAGAGAGAGAGAAGGGGGAGGGGTGGGTGTGAGGGATTGGGTCCGAACTGTTATTGCCAAAACATAAATTATCCGTTGGAAGACGGACTGTAAGTTTCTAGCTGCCAAAGTATATTTTACCTTGAGAAGCGAAAGTTTTATGGAGACTCACTTTTTCTGGAAAAGTCATCTTCAGATCTGTTTTCCAGTTGAAATGCAAAAGTATTTTTGAATTAGAAAATGGAGGGAAAAGTCGTATTTAGATCTGCCAACCAGGTGAGCTGCCAAGTATTTTTGATCTAAAAAAAATCGGACGTATAAGGGACACTCACTTCTTCAGGAAAAGTCGTTTTTGAATCTCTATGCCAGTTGAGCTGCAAACGTATTTATTGATTTTTGATCTAGAAAAGCTAAAAAGGACACTCGCTGTTTTTAGAAAAGTCATCTGATTCTTTAGATCTGCCCACCAGTTGAGCTGCCAATGTATTTCTTATCTTACAAAAAGGCAATGTATAAGGGACACTCACTGTTTCTCAAAAAGTCGTTTTTGAATCTCTATACAATTGAACTATAAACGAATTTTGCTTTTGGACAAAGAAAAAGTATTTCTGATCTTACAAAAACGCCAATGTATAAGGGACACTCACTGTTTCTGGAGAAGTCGTCCACCAAGATAATCTCCCGCAGTAAGTGTTCTGGCGTCCGGCTCAAGATGCTGTGCACAGAGCGCAGTAACACTGACCAGGCCTCGTCGTGGAAGATGATGATCACACTGACCGATGGGAAGTCTTCAGGGAAGTCCTCTTCTACCTGCTTACACCTGGAAATGATAGGGATTGGGATTGGGATTGGGATTGGGATTGTGAGATTGGTTGTGATTGTGATTGTACGATTGTAATAATAATTATCATTATAAATGTGATTGAGGGTGTGATTGTGGATGTGATTGAGGTTGTGATTGTGATTGTGGTTGTGATTGTGACTCTGATTGTGGTAGGAAATGTGATAATGGTAGTGGTTTTGATTATAATTGTGATTATAATTATGTTTATTGTAGTGATTATGATTATGATTTTCATTGTCATTGTTGTCATTGTCTCATTGTAGATCTAATTGTGACCCAGTTCTGAACATTTAGAAGGCGGGCTGCTTCGAGCCTGCCTGTCAGGACGAATTTGTCTCTTAGTATAGTATAATACAAAATTTCATCAAACAGACCACAGTGCTATTTGACAAAGGACCTTGGGAATTGAACAAATGTGTTTTCCTAACAATAGCACAGAGCGTAACCGTTCTACCACAGATATCATTTGCTTACACCTGTGGGAAAAAAGTCTTGGCATTATTTATTGTTTCGCTTGCTCTGAATAGTGAGGATTTTTCTACAAGGGAAGGTAGGCAACATTGAAATAGAGAGAGAGGGGGG